GAGAAATGATTGTCTCTTTGCATATTTATGGCTGTGAACATCCATCTTCTTCTGTTTGTCCATGTCTTTTAACCATTTTCCTGTTGTGTTGTGGTATATGAGAGACAGTAACCCCATGTCTATCAAATGTACTGCAAGCATTTTCCTCCAATCCATTAAAAAAAAAAATACGTTTTTTCTTTTATGGTTTCTGTGTTTCCCGTCTTGCCTTAAGAAGGACATTTTACACTAAGATTATAAAACTTTTTATTAGGAAAATATGGTTATTTTGTGTTTTACTTTTAGATCTTTACCTAGCCGCATGACCTTGGGTAATTGGGCAGCATTTGACATAGTTGACCACTTCCTTCTTGAAATGCTTACTTTCCTTAGCTTCTGTGACATAAGACTGTCTTGGTCTTCCTTCTGCTTCCCTGGCTGGTCCTTCCTCCCCCGACTCCCTTTTTCAGACTAATTCTTCCCTCCTGGACCATCGTACTATGCTTTTCTGCCGGGTGATCTTATCCACATAATGGTTTTAGCCACCACTGAAAGGCAGGTGATTCCCAGATATTAGTGTCTAGCCCGGAGCTCTCAGCTGAGTTCTGGATCTGTGTGTCCTTCTGCCTACCTGACATTTCCACTTGGATGTCCCACCTCCAATGCAAGATGAGTTTCTCCTCCGAATCAGCCCTCTTTCAGGAGTCCCTAAGGGACTGATATCACCATTGTCCCATTACAAAAGCCATTAATTTGAGCACCATCCTTGACCAACTTTGTCCCTTCCCTTCTTGTATCTAGCACCCCAAACGATGTCCAGCACATAGCAGGTGCTCACTAAATAGTTACCAAATGATTGAATGCATATGTGATCCACCTCCGGGTCATGTTGCTGTTACCTCCTAAATATCTTGTGAATTAGACCACTTCTGTCTGTTTCCGGTCTCTCCATCCTGGGCCAGTCACTGTCTCCTCTCACCTGGATTTTGTTCCTGCCTCTTCAGTGACTTTTCAGTGTGTACTCTGGCCCCTGTGAGGCCAAAGTTCAGATCTGATGAGGTCTTTAACTGAAGGTCACCCTCAAAAGTGAGTCACATTTTTCTGTGGCTTCTCATGCCTCCTGGGATGAGGCCCACGCTCCTCCCTGTGGCTAACAGCAGGGCTGCTGACAAGCATGGGTTGGCCCCACCCCAGCCTCACCTCCTCACTCCCAAGACCCTCGTTCTGACCCCCCTACCCTGAGCTGCCTTCCCCTTCTTTGAACATGTTTTGACTACCCTGCCCCCACGGGGACTTGGGACACTCTATGTACAAATTTTAAATAGAGGAACCTTAAGGAATTCAGGAACTTTGTACCTTTGCTTGAAGATTACAAAACACGGAGCTAGCCTTTTGCAGAAAGACAGGAAAATGTACACATCGGATTCCTTAAAGATACTAAGAATATAAACCATAGCGAGGTGAGGTGAAGTCTTCCCTTGTTAGTTTTATTTATTCTGTATCTTGTTGGCCTAAAATTGAGACACGCCTTGTGGGCATTTACTGCAACTTCAATGGCTGATTGTTATATTGCATTTAATCTTGAGACTATTACTTGTGTACTTTTTTCGTAGGAAATTAGATTTACTCCCTGTATGTTCTAGAAAATTGAATTTTAAATATTTAACTCACTAGCTGCCTTAATTTATCCTGTTATAATCAATTCAGCCAGTTGAAAAACTCCTCCAATTCTCTTCCTGTTAGCAAAAAACACTTGTTTCCTTTGTTGTATTAAAAATGACAGAAGTAAAATTATAATAAAAGGTAATAATAGCAATAGTTTAAAATGCAATGCAGACTCTTGATTTTTTTCCCCCTTGATGTCCCCAAGCCTGGATGCTTTCCCCCTTCACTCACCTCATCCTAATTGTCACCTCCTAAGGTGACACCTCCTTTCTGATATTTTGGTCTAGGACAAATCCGTCTTGTTTGCTTTCCTGATATCATTTCCTCTCCTTCGTATTCATGAGAACTGCAGTTTTTAATTTACCCGTGTACTTCTTTAATGGATTTTGGTCTCGTATACAAAGGTTTATAAGTAGGGTCATCATATAATTTATTCTTCAAACCATGACATTTGAGAGTTAAAGAGGGAACTATGAATCATTATGCTGAGGCTGGGCGCCATG